ACCATTTATACCCACTAAATATATATATAATGTTATGGTAAATATCATAAACACACATAGGCATGGCTAGGTTTATTACAAAGTGATGAAAAGGGTACGCTTAATACTGTAGTCCACAAAACATGTAGCTATGCTTTTTTTATTTGGTCCCCCATCATACGAGTCCGTTTTCTCTCACATCAGGACGCCCGAGTCCTCCGTTTTCTCTCTTAATCTTAAGAGTGCACCAGAAACTTCGCTAATCCTTAGTAATGCAACAGAATTTGAAATTGCAACCCCAATTGCAACTGGGGTTGCAATTGTTGAGGCAACTAGATATGTCTGATTACAGCAAATGTGTTATTGTCAATTTGTAGGTGAAAGATTTTATCCTCAATAGATGTAGGTTAACATTACACTTGGAGGCAAATGTTTAAAAATAGCCTAAGATAGGAAGCATATTCCTTTAACACATAATATCTGACCAGTATGGGGAGGATCATTGTGTCTCCGTCAGGGGTTATGGGTATGGTGTGGTCCAGCAGGCGTCCTGAATTTTTTTTGGGGGGTGGGGGCAATGGGCGTATCGTCGGGCGACCCAGTGGATTTAGGCGTTAACGGCGCATGACTGGCACTTTGTAAATTGCGACGTATAAGCCGACCCGGCGTATAAGTCGACCTCAAGATTTTTAGTTCAAAATTCAAGTTTAGTTCTATACTTGCCATATAAGTCGACCCCCCCAAGGCCCAAACACAGGTGAAAGTGTGTAATAAGGCCACGCCACTTTCATCAAGACACTTATCGTGATACCTTTCAAAATTTGATATACATATATATATTTTATATACAGTAGTTCATACAAAACGGGAAGTGGGCAACAGGATCTAAAGGGACAAGCAACCGCTAAAAATCTTCAGTAAGTTATCTTTGTAAGAACTCTGGTAAACACCAAGCCAAAATCAGCACCTCCAATAAAATAGTAATTGTTTACACAGCATACCAGTATAGCACCTTGAGAGTACAATCTATAAACGGTATGATAGTAGAACATTATGGTACACCTGGCTTATGATCTGCCATTTGTATCAACTGTTGTAAACAAACTGTCAGTGGCGCCATCAACACCAAGCGGTCAGCTGCGAAACTATGGGTCGGTTACACTGTCGGCAGCACGGCTTAAACTTAAACTGTCATCCGCTGCAGCTCTGTTGTTTGAAGAGATTGCAAACGAAACAACTTTCAACTTTCAACTTGGGTCATATTTCATCCTTTTTGCAGGGGGAGCTTTGAGGATAAGGTATTTTCAACTGTTGTCAGGTTGGTGTGTGGGTAATGAGTGGATGCCAGCAAGAGCATAAAGCCACAATGGTTTAAAATTGCCAGGGCTTGTCAGTGTATCCCCAAACACTGAACAAGCCTACATGTATACCAGTAATACCAGGGGGTTAACATCTGTGCTTAACCACCTGATGTAAGCCCAAATAAGCCATTTAAGGACAATACTGTATTCGTTTTGAGGGAATAAATGGATGGTTGAGGAGAAAAGTCATTCACGAAGGGTAATATGCGTGTCCACTACCGGATGTGTTGTGCAATTTGTAATAAAGTCTTGGGAAGCCTTCGTAGAAACGCCATAAAATCGTTAAAAAAATGTGGGATTTCAAATGCAATGGATGGGGAAGAAGATGATTTGTTGTGGCAAGACAGTGACAAGGAGGAGGATGACAGCGACAAGGAGGAGGATGACAGCAAATATAATGAAGACGAAGTCGGAAGCTCCAGTGATTCGGACCCATATGCAGACCTCTTTATGTTAGATGATGCACAGCCAGCAGACTTTGAAGGATTTTAAAATGTGATCAAACATGCTTTTATTGTCAATAAAATATAACTTTGAAGTAAAATTAATCTTGAAGTTAAATTTTAACTTATAATCTTCTTAGGGTTAAGGTTTTAATTAGGTGTCATTGTGTGTATATTCAATAAACTGCCATTATGTATCATTAAGCTGTCATTAACCCTGTAGTGTATGTGAACACACAATCTATAGCGCTATCATAAAATTGCGCAGATGGCACCCATATCGTAGTGCTGGGTAGTTGTCTGGCTGGCCGCCTGGGTTTAGTGGCGTTCTGATTGATTGTTTACTGTCCATCAGCTGTTGAAAATGGAGGTGTGTTGTGTTCATTTAATTATACTGGAATTTACGATTTTATTATAATCTCTATGTTAAATAAGTTTACCAAACATCAAATTCAGTAGGAAGTATTAGCGGCAGGCCATGGGAGTTACGCTAAGTGATGCACACTGAGTGTTAGGCAGGCTGTTCCACTTGTTTACCACTATGTGGTACAGCTTCACATTTGCTACTCTGAGTATAAGTCGACCCCTGGTTTTGGAGAGATTTTTTCAAACTTAAAATATCTACTTATTCGCCGCAATCTACGGTAAGTCTATATGATAATTATGCCAACAAAGTGAAGGGTTTAATTCGATACCACAGGGTTTTACATGTGTATGTCATGGTTACATCAGTGATGGTGGTGATAGTACAGTAGTAATAGTAGGTCCTTGAAGACAGATCTAGCATGGACAAGAACATATCTTGGGCTGCTTTTCATGCCAGCTGCCTGTCATCATAAGCTCGAGTCATATGCCTCATTCTTCCTTGAGAGTGCACACACAGTGGCCATAATCCGAAACTCAACATACTTGGTGAAGAATACTGTTGATCATCTGGATGCCAGTAGTCACCTTCATCCAGTCCCTGTTTACTTTGGCAAAGCAGATTCAATGGAGGTGACCTGAGAGCTACAAGGCAGATAAATTAGTGGTGATATTAAGTGGTCTCCACAACGAGATGGCAGCCCTGAAGACTGGTTGCAAGGGAGTGGTTGGGTTCAAGCACTAGTGTAAGCCGAGATTGCAATGCCAGGGACAGCGAATTCATTCTTGTGAGCAGTCCACATTGCATGCAAAAGACAATCTCACCAGGCTGCCCTATACACCCAGATGATGCAGGGGATGGAAAAGACTTTGAAGATTGGTGCCATTACAGAGAACATGCCTAGCCTCAGCTTCAGCACTGGACAATCTTGCTAGAACTTGAACTGCTGAACTGTGAAAATGCTGCTGTGCAGCAGGCATCATTCCCACGCTCGCCCACTAGTTCCATGCACTGGACCACACCAACTATGCCAGGTAGGTCCCACTTCACCTGAGGAACATGGGTATACTTCCAATAGAGCACCCAGATGTGGCCATGAAATTCAAGGCTGGCAACTTCACTGTGCAGAAGACGAGGAAAGTGTTCTCCTCAATTCCACTGATAAGGCACATGAGCAGGACACACGTCACCATGATCAGACAACCAGTGTACAGACTGTATTTGCCAAAGATATACGCTCCCTCGTCAATGCGATAGAAAACCTTGGCAACCCCTTTGTGTGAGCCTGATTGTCCTCAACACAATGGAAATTGCAGGTCCTGTAGCAGTCAAGGTCCGAAGGTGACGATGATCGGCAAGGAGCAGTTCAAAACTTTCACCAGAGAACATCTGGTAGAAAGAACCAAGCCCCTTGATGATACCATGTGTTTGAAAGCCCCAGCCCAAAGACTGCAAGCAAAGGGAAGTGCCAAATGACCTCTCTGAAGAATTAAGTTGGACTCTTCTCATAACTGAACATTAGTTGACAGATGAGGAGCAAAAACCTTGAGGAGTTCTTTTGCTACAAGAACCAAGCAAACCCTCCCGGAAACCTCCGCTCCAGGTGCCAATAATCCTCCATTCCCTACCTGTCCATAAAGCTGCAGGATGCACCATGCCTGAATGTAGTGTGGGACACCTACACTGAAGATTCGCTGAAAGGCATGGCAAGAACAAAACGTGGGAAAGAGTGTAGCTGCAGCAGCCATAACAGGAAATTGGCAAAGCTTCCTCTGTGAGGACTGCAACAAGACGGAGCTGTTCAGGTTCCTGTCAGAAGCTGCCCTCAAGTGATTCGACAAGGAGGACAAATAGCTTGTCAGCACTGATGAAGAGGAGTCTCAGCATGATGCCACTGGAGAATCTAGCATCACTCTCTCCAGACGGTTGACACAGACGTCGTGGGCGCTATTGCGTTCTGGCAAGGGCCTAGTAGTTCACAGCCCACAAAGTGGCAGCTGGGCTTGGACTAGAGAAGGCCCAGGTACTGCCAATGTTTCATGCTCTGACAAGGTACAACACCATGTCCAGCAAAGGAAGACTTCCTGGGCCATCTGGGCAGTGTTCCCAGAATTAACAGATGCACTACCTAACACTCTTGGGGTTTTTATATACGCAAATTTGTGTATGATCTAAATTACCATGGGTTTTTATACACAAATTTATGCATGAACTAAAAAATAACAATAAAAAAATAATATAGGTTTAGTGAAGAACGCTTAGATTTGCAAGATGTCAGGGTCGAATGCACAATGTCTCAATATCCAAACCTGTTCACTACATACTGGTCTACCTCTGTGCCAAATTTCATGCTAGTAAAAAAAAAAAAAAAAACTTGGTTTGATAATTATCTGCCTCACTAATAGGTGCTTGTGTAATAATGGTAATAATAACATATACAGTATTTTTATTTCTGCATAGGTCACTAGAAGCTGAAAATATTTGCAACTTTAAACTGAAAGTATATAAAGTCAATTAAAAACACTTTTGAGTAGATATGAAGCAGATGTAGCAGTATCCCAGACTGTCTGATAAGGCTATTCGGATGGACCAGAAATAATATGACATGTAACGAGAACAACGCACACTAACACTACACTGTACATACCGACAAGTCCCAGGCAATGTGAAACAGCACTGCAATTCACTGCATAGATTTAGACAGTAAATCTACAGAAAATCACACAGACACTTGTCAATCACTTTACTGTCCAAAAACCAATCAGTCCATAATTTCTTACCAAAGAGGGAAGTTTTTATTTGTAAAGCAGTTATAGAGGCACTAATATGTAAGGGAACATGAGAATACCTTACCTAGGGAGAGTAAATTTTTACGCTGAGCATTGAAAGCATCCCAGGCACACAATGAAGTTGTTGCTTCATCAGGGAACATCACAAAATCCTCCGTGTGGTTGAACATTGCATGGGCACTGTGTTCCTGACGACCTGGAGACAGAAGTGAAAATGACATATAAAAGAAAACACTGTTTTTCCAACTGATAATCATTATCATCTACTTGTCATAGGAGGGGAACAAGTGCATGATTTTTGCAAAACTTTATAAAAAATTTATAATTTCACGAATTTCCTTGAAAAATGGACAAGGGTAAATAATGTATCTCCCATACTTTTATCTGCATTGAAAAATATCAAACCTTCACATCCTCATATTTATATATCATAAAAGAAATCCCAATACCCCCTCCTGTACTTTCATATTCTTTAGTGGTACTAAAATCTCTGCTGCCCCTTCATTTTGACAAGCTCCAATCAACTATCTGGTACACTTGAACTATTGGTTTATTTCTGAATCTTCTCATATCAATAAAAGATGACAGCATGCCCTTAAAATTTGTGGATTTTAATTGCGAACCTTGATTATTCACGGATGACACCTGGATATATCCAAGAATGTCTTAGGTTGCTGGGCATTTCGTGGCTGCACATTCATTCTAGAGAGTAATTTTTACCTCATTGTATATGCATGTGTGCACACACACACACACACACACACACACACACACACATATATATATATATATATATATATATATATATATATATATATATATATATATATATATATATATATATATATATATATATATATATATATATATATATATATATATATATATATATACAATCAGAACAAATGAGTTAAAATTGTGATTACGTCATCGTTGTAATACAATGCTAATGAATTGACTTGATGTAGACACACACACATATTACACACACAAAACAAATACAAATAAAATATGAAAATCCTCAAGTAATCAGAATCAAATGTATTAAAATGTGTGAGAGTTCACCTCAGTCCACCTCCATGCTTTTCTATTTTTAAAGCATGGGGGTTGACCTGAGGGAAGACTCACATTTTTACTACAATTGTTTCTGATTAATTATTTTAGAGAGGATTTTTCCATTATTGTTTATCTGCATGGGTTTGTGTGTCCATATATATATATATATATATATATATATATATATATATATATATATATATATATATATATATATATATATATATATATATATATATATATATATATATATATATATATATATATATATATATATATATACATACATACAGTGGGGTATGCTATAACTAACTAATCCTACTACTAATATCTTACAATCTAATTTTTACCTATAAAATTGAGAATGCTATAACTAATCTAAACCCTACAACTAACATTATTTAAATTTTTTTTTTTGTTCTAATTTATTGTTTTTATTACAAATATTAATGATATTCTTTATTTCAGGGTTTAGATGCATATTTATGCAGTTTTTTACAATTTGCAATTTTATATTATATTTTTCAGTGTTATGGTTGTATTTGGGGCCTGGAACGATTAATCCTATAACGAATCTAATGCTATAATCCAACATGTTCCTAGAACCAATTAGATTAAGTATATATACCCCAATATATATATATATATATATATATATATATATATATATATATATATATATATATATATATATATATATATATATATATATATATATATATATATATATATATATATATATATATATATATATATATACACACACACAGCATTACCTCGCTTAACGGTTTCGCTTAGCGTGCTTTTAACAGATATGTTGCCTCGCCATAACGCGGGTTTTTTTCCACGTATACGCGGTGAGTGAGTGTCCGGCTCGAGAGCTATTTTTAGATTCGCCCCACCCGCCACCCTGCCTGACTGCCTGTTTTAGCCCATAAAATTCATACAAATTACCCGGCCAGAATATAATTTTCATTGCTGGAATTCTTACAATATGATGATCATTTTGAATTTAAACATCATAGATTTTGCATTAGACATACAAATTTTAGATATAATGTTTACTCTGAGTAAATATGTTATTTTTTGTGCAAAATATATGACATTGGTATTCAAAATATTCCTGGGCTTACAAGGAATCCAGCAATGTCAATTATATTATCCTAACTTTAGTTTGAGGTGTTATTTATTACTAAAAAGGTAAATATTCTGGTTTTCCCACACATCTGGTGTGGACGGGGGGTGGGGGGAGGGAGGGGCCGACCGACCATCTGTTACCATGTGAAGAATATTTTTTTTTTTTTTATTAACTGAAGATATTTGTTTTAGCTCATAAAATTCATACAAATTACCTGGTCAGAATATAATTTACATTGCTGGAATTCTTATAATTTGATGATCATTTTGAATATAAACATCATAGATTTTGCATTAGACATACAAATTTTAGATGTAATGTTTACTCTGAGTAAATATGTTATCTTTTGTGCAAAATATATGACATTTATATTCAAAATATTCCTGGTCTTACAAGGAATCCAGCAATGTCAATTGTATTATCCTAACTTTAGTTTGAGGTATTATTTATTAAAATTTAGTGGTTTTCCCCCAAAAATTTCTCAGAGAGGAAAGAGGCAGCAGTGTAGTGTGAGAAGAGAGGGAGGGAGTCCAGTCCGTTATTTGAATGGACATTAACTTGGCGACTTTATTTCTCTACTTCTCTTAAGTATTAATTGTGTGCATGTACTATCATAAAATTAAGATGATATTTTTACTAGAACATAGGTATTGTGAAAAAGTGGAGTTTGGGGATCGGGCCAGTTTCTATTGGAATTAATCCCATATGTTCTGTTGTTCACTTAGCGCGGTTTTTCACTTAACACGGTACCCTGTGGGTTTTATTGACCGCGTTAAGCGGGGTACTACTGTGTATATATATATATATATATATATATATATATATATATATATATATATATATATATATATATATATATATATATATATATACACACCTAGACCCCGACTTTACTACTACGTGGACTTCATTACTGTCGGACTTACGACCGCAGAGATTTTTATTAAAAAAAAAAAAAAAAAAATTTTCTTCAAATGACACATGCATTTTCTATACTGAAACGTTTCCAGTTAATGTAGTCCATGTATAATTAGAAAATTATGGGAGCCCCATGTGCATTCAGCTGACTACATTAAAGGTAAGTGCCAGTCACACTGTAACCATTCCTTATTATTTATTACTTTCACTGTACTGTATCCATTCCTCATTATTCATTACTTTTACTGTACTGTATTTCATTGTAGATTATTTATTAAAAAAAAAAAAAAAAAAAATTATCTATGTCGGACTTACGGCCATGTCGACTTACGACCTGATTTGGTCCCAACCCCGTCGTAAGTCGGGTCTGGTGTGTGTATGTATGTATATATATATATATATATATATATATATATATATATATATATATATATATATATATATATATATATATATATATATATATATATATATATATATATATATATATATATATATATATATATATATATATATATATGCAAGTAAATCACTGTAGGTGCGTGATCTAATCAGCTCAGTGAGCAGACTAGTCTGTACTCACCCCTGAAGATGGAATTACACCAAAGCCTGGAACTTTAAGTGTTTCTTCTTTCCTTGTGGTTCATATATATATATATATATATATATATATATATATATATATATATATATATATATATATATATATATATATATATATATATATATATATATATATATATATATATATATATATAAATATATATATATATAGTTAATCTCACTTAAGCAGGCCAATTGAACCCAGAGGGTCTAAGTGAAATCCGCTAAGGAACAACAGAACAATGGGATTAATTCCACAGAAACCGCCCGACCCCCAAACTCCACTTTTTGAAGGCACATACCTATGTTGTAGTAAAATAACATCTTAATTTTATGATGGTACATGCACAATTAATACTTAAGAGAAATAGAGAAATACAGTCGCCAAGTTAATGTCCATTCAAATAATGGACTCAACTCCTCCTCTCACACACTAGCCGGTTAATAGATGGTCGGTCGTCCCTCCTCCCCCCAACCCCCACCAACCTTCCCAAGGAGATGTGTGGGATAACCTCAAACTAAGTTAGAAAATATAATTGACATTGCTGGATTCCTTGTAAGACTAGGAATATTTTGAATATAAATGTCATATATTGCAAAAAAGATAATATAGTTACCTAGAGAAAAAATTTTTTATCTAAAATTGTAAGTTTAAAGCAAAATATATGATGTTTATATTCAAAATGATCACCAAATTATAAGAATTCCAGCAATGTAAATTATATTCTGACCGGTAATTTTATGAATTTTATGAGCTAAAACAAATATCTTCAGTTAATAAAAAAAATAATAATCTTCACGACACTATCTGTCAATCAAAGTACCCCACTTGCCTCCCCTCTTCCAACCGCGCGGTCAGTCCCAACCTCCCCCACCCCCCACCAATCCTCCCTTCCAGAGTTTTTAACATTTAGTATTAAATAATACCTCAGATTAAAGTTAGATAATATAATTGACATTGCTGATTCCTTGTAAGACCAGGAATATTTTGAATATAAATGTCATATTTTGCACAAAAGATACTATAGTTACCTAGAGAAAAATTTTTATCTAAAAATTGTAAGTTTAACAAAAATATATGATGTTTATATTCAAAATGATCACCAAATTATAAGAATTCCAGCAATGTAAATTATATTCTGACCGGTAATTTGTATGAATTTTATGAGCTAAAACAAATATCTTCAGTTAATAAAAAAAAAATAATTCTTCACAGGGTAACAGATGGTCGGTTGGTCCTCCTTCCCCACCCCCACCAACCGCCCCAAGGAGATGTGGGATAACCACTAAATTTTAATAAATAATACCTCAAACTAAAGTTAGATAATATAATTGACATTGCTGATTCCTTGTAAGACTAGGAATATTTTGAATATAAATGTCATATTTTTGCACAAAAGATACCATAGTTACCTAGAGAAAAATTTTTATCTAAAATTTTAAGTTTAAAGCAAATATATGATGTTTATATTCAAAATGAT